CAATAATATATGTTGACAATAACTTCCGGGCAGACAGAATATGTGACAGAGGTGTTATATAATGTAAACTTCGGTCAGGTCGTGTAGAAGTAGAAATCATAGTTAAAATTTCTTAGAACCTGATGCATTATCAAATACCGACCAAATAGATGTAGAGAAGCTACAACTTTTTAGATAAGTATGTGGGTATCAATGCCCTATATGGACTTTTGAATTCTAGAAAAAACCTTTATGCTATAAGCTATATCCTTGCTGATATTTCAAGCCATTCAAATTTTTAGAATTGTGTGATTGTTCCATAGAATTTAAAGGATTAATATTACTGGAATCATAGCCCCGATTAATTACGGTCGTAAGATAGATTTATGTAATGTTGCCCTGACCCGAATAAAAGGTTGCTTATAAAATATTGGATCTTGTGGAGATTAGCTCTTCAAAGTGATACTGATGCCATTAATATCTCATTTACCATTCCATTATCCCAGATAATCTTCTTGTAATTCAATTATAAAGTAGAGATTTCCTCTGACGTTGGTGACCATTTAATAGCTTGCCTTGATTCAGCAACACAACAATAATAATGTCCGTAATAAAATATAAACCAAAATGTAGGTAGTTTAAGTTAGCTGCGTCTAAATGCTCATAATATAGAAATTTTAGTCAGCGAATTACATGAACTAAAATGCATTGTGAACCATACTTTACAAACAACAACGTCTTTCAATATTCACTTGAGAAGTCTCATACAACCAACGATTAACAAATTACACAATCATATTGAACCACCCTCAACAAATCAACTTTAACCACTAACAACATCTTAAATACATGAAATCACGTTGCCCCAACCTCAACAACTAACAATAATTTACATTATCAGGTTGAACCAGACACAACAACTATAACAACAACTTACATTATCATGTTGAGCTAACCTCGACAAGTAACAACAAATAAACCTTAACCGCTAACAACATCTTACATACATGAAGTCACGTTGCACCAACCTCAACAACTTACATTATCACGTTGAACCAGACACAACTAACAACAACGTATATACAGTCACATTGAACCGACCTCAACAACTAACAACAACTTATATATAGTCACATTAAATCAACCTCAACAACTAACAACTGATATATAGTCACATTGAAACAACCTTAACAACTAACAACAAATAAACCTTAACCGCTAACAACATCTTACATACATGAAGTCACGTTTGCACCAACCTCAACAACTAACAACTTACATTATCACGTTGAACCAGACACAACAACTATAACAACAATATAATATACAGTCACGTTGAATCAACCTTAAGAACTAACAAAAACTTATAAGTAATCACGTTGAATCAACAACTAACAACACCAAACATAACATACACTTTGAATCAACCTCGACAACTAATGACAACTCGCTTGATCGTGCATACTCCGAGGCGAACAACAACTTACATGGTCACAATTAATAATATTCAAATGGACAATATTCAATATCGTTCTTTAATAGAATTCAGATTTATTTCATTACATGTAAAGGTGCATTTTGACAAGCATACAAAGCAATACATCTTCATAATAGTTACAGATTTGTGCTTTGTCGGTTTTAATGCCTGGTTGTGGTGTTTAGTTCAGTAATACCTACAGGCATAGACTGGTTAAATGACATTTATCACGACTGTACTCATTTCTGAATATAAATATATCCAGTTTTAATCAACTAAATGGTGCTCTCGTCTAAATTAAAATTCTATTTCATTCCATATCTGTTTGTCTAGACTATTTTAACTGATCAACATGAATGTCACCTTACCAGACACTGTTAACTCAACGATAGCAGGCAGGTATACATAGGTCGCTGGTCATGCAAGGTTACCAAAGGAGAGCGGTTAACGCCAGATTTAAATGTTTATTCTCTGGAATATGTGCCTATGTTCATGCAAGATTCTTAAGCCTACTACATGAAAACATTTTGTTTACGTCATATTCTGTGGTTTATGGCATATTAGGATCTCATTTTCCACGCGACAATATGGTACCGGTATCATTGCAAATGAAAATAACAGCAATATAGGCCTAATTTTTAAAATTCGTTTATTTTCCCATGCAATATAGTATTTATCTTGAAATCTGGAATCGTTGGTTAATGTTAGGCCGAACTATGTAGTCAATAGTTTAAGGCTGTTATAAAATGGATTTCTTGGTAATTTTATGTCAACTAGCGATATGTTATTGTTATTGTCTGTAGACGACAATTGTAACGGATATTACTTTTATATTTTATAGCTTTTTCATTTCCTGCATTATTCCTGATATAACTGTTAACATTTCCTGATAGCCTGTCATAGTCTGTACATGTCTGTGTTAGCATTTTCAAAAGCGTGGTTTAATGGATCTAAGATATCGAGTTGGAACAAGCAATTTAGATCAGCTGTTCTCTGCCCTTGGGCTCGAGGTACCCCTGATGTATATCTTCTCTGTTTATATTTAGTCCATCTAATATTTATCTGACCCCAATTTATCAACGGTATATTTATACTTACTCACTAGCTGATACCAATGTTTATAGTTACTCACTAGCTGATACCAATGCTTATACTTACTCACTAGCTGATACCAATGTTTATAACTGTTAACATTTCCTGATAGCCTGTCATAGTCTGTACTTGTCTGTGTTAGCATTTTCAAAAGCGTGGTTTAATGGATCTAAGATATCGAGTTGGAACAAGCAATTTAGATCAGCTGTTCTCTGCCCTTGGGCTCGAGGTACCCCTGATGTATATCTTCTCTGTTTATATTTAGTCCATCTAATATTTATCTGACCCCAATTTATCAACGGTATATTTATACTTACTCACTAGCTGATACCAATGTTTATACTTACTCACTAGCTGATACCAATGCATATACTTACTCACTAGCTGATACCAATGCTTATACTTACTCACTAGCTGATACCAATGCTTATACTTACTCACTAGCTGATACCAATGTTTATACTTACTCACTAGCTGATACCAATGTTTATAATTACTCTCACTAGCTGATACCAATGTTTATACTTACTCACTAGCTGATACCAATGTTTATACTTACTCACTAGCTGATACCAATGTTTCGCCAATGTGTTCTGGATTTCGGGTTCGTTTTAGCGATTCGGATCGTTAGTACTTAATGATGTCATGAGCTTTCATTATTGATTATAGGGCCTAATAAATTTAATTCGACAAAAGTTGTACGATATTTACGCAGAAATGTGTTCTAAACGAGGAAGATCTATATAATTAAGATTTAATTAAGATTTATTAATAATTATGATATTTAATAATGATAATCAAAGTAGGCTACCTTAAGAATTTTGTATGAATTTGGTCACCTTGTTCAGAATCTGATCTGAACATCTACTTAAGATTTACGCGTCTTTAATAGAACGCGTCTTTTGTAATAGTTTGAGAACGCGTCATTTTGTCGATTGTCTGATTGAAATACAGATCTTTAAGTTTGCATCGCTGTCTTTTTTTCAGGGGAGAAACTAATATTTTAGCTTTCACTTATTCAATAATTTACTTAAATGTATTGTAAAGAGGTTTTCTTAAGTTTGTATGTTTATCTGGGACACTAATAGCATCAATTTTCACCATTCCGATTTTCATTAAGATGTCTGTGCATCGTGTCCAAACGACCCCGCCATACGTCTACTCCTGGATTGTCTTTTGGATATCTAAAGGCATATAATCAAATTCCTAAAAGGATACAAATATCAATAATTATCATGTAAATTTAGGCCTACTACAGAATTAGGCCTACGTTAAATTCTGTAGGCCTACATTTTTTGTTTCGTCTATCAGCAAAAGCCTACTTTCAGTTTAGATGTATTTATTTGGAGTAGGTAGGTTTGAGACATTGTGGTCTGAATTTGATTAATGTCAATAGAATTTCCGGGATTGTTCATAGAAATTATAGTAGACTTCCTTTACCATTAACTCTCTAATGTAGACCAAGCTTCCGGTTCGAAGTGCGTATATATTGTGTATGTCATTTCCACTGTTCTGTCTTTGCCCTTTAACTAATTTGTGTCTATTGGTACAGGGATCGGAGACAATTAGGTTGAATCAATATTTCATTAAGTCCCTCGCTCTTCTTCTGAAAATGTCAATGGAGATGGAAAATTGAGAAGCTTTTGCAATAATCACGAAGTACAGCAAGTGAATTAGACAGTTAGTATAAACCATGTCTTATAAACTAATCACATTTTATAGACAATACAAAGAAACAGACATGCCTTGGAATAATTCAAGACAAATCTAAATTTATTAGCTTGAAAATTCAGATTGGATTTCTTGAAGAAACCTCCCTCTGATACTATACACGATACACATACGCTTAAATTTATTTTACAATTTGATATATCCCAATTAAGTCCTTTCTAATGTTATAAGTATAAGCCCACTTTCGTCAACATCTCTGATAGCCTATTAGCAATTAGCAAAAACTATGATAATGTGAAACAATTAGCTTATTGATTTGTTCTATCTGGACCATAGAGTTATACTAAGACTTAAGGATCTGAGCGCACTGACGGTGGAAAGATCGCAAGTGCCAGCAGTAAGTTCTAGAGACCTATTCTTCCCTCAGAGAAAATCTGGACGTAGACCTTTATTAGTCGTTCGAAAACTCTCGCATCAGTTAGTGGAGGCTGCAAGTTATTTAATAGGCCTATGTTGCTTGGCAAGCTATCTAGCCTTTTATTGGTCGATTGTCCTAACCGTTAAAATCGCTTTTAAAGTGTTCGGTCTATGGCTTACGCCTGTTATTAAGGTGTTACATCACAATGATTCTATCCTCGAATTCGTTTCAATTTAGCAACAAGTACCTGCAAAATGTACACGACATTTTTGTCTAAAAATAAAAAAAAGAAAGTAGCGGCCATAGCGAGAAGCATCCTTAGCAACTGTGAATATTTTTAATCTTAGGCAAATCTTTTGAATGTGATGACATTTATTTAAATCCTACATCAGCCGAAATGGGTAGATAAGTAAGTTTACGTGCGTTTTAGATTTGGCTATTTTAGAAGTTGATTTCTTGTTTTATGCCGGGCTATGCATTTACCATTAATAACATTGTAGTGTAGGCTATTGATTTTGCCATTTGGTCTTTGGCTTTGGTACTTTGGAATGGCAATTAGCCCACATGGTGGCGAAGAGTAGGACTCCATTGTTTAATTTAAGGGGGAGTTCATTGCATTGCAATCATCACATACATCATAATCATCTAGCCACTAGCCTATCACTTACCAATTTCACATTTGTAATTTAACAGATTTCAAAGTCATTGTTATTGTTGGATGTCATATTTGATTTGCACTACAAAAATTTATTATTGTATCTAGGTTTGGCCTTGAGCTTATATTATTATCCATTAATGATGTTGCAATTGTCAGCGACAATCGATTATCGGTTGTTGAAAGTCCAGCGATGTTACCGGTACTAATCGATTCTCAACTGAAAGTTGGCAACCTCTGCAAACCACATAAAAAGTCAGTCATGTTGTTTTTGTTGATGATATAAAATTTCAAATAAATAATTAAACTTAACTTATAAGATTAGGTGACTAAAACAATGAGATCCTGATAATTTGTCACACCTTTGATTAATTTTTCTCTAGGACTAGCCTTAGATTCGGCACAGAAACAAATTCATAAAGCCTTAAAACAAGTACATGTTCAATAAATGGAGCGTGTTTTGATTATTAATCGATTATGTCTATCCGATTATTTCGGTTAATCAAACATTATATTCATCCGATTGCCCATTAATATTATCCATTCTTCCTGGGATTGGCTCACTCCATCTAAAAGAAAGATTTCCTATTTAGCCCTTTTTATAAGCTCACATTATAATGTGGTCGTAAATTGTTGTCGCCCTTGTCCGTCGGTCCGTCCACAATTGGCTTGTGAACGTAATAGAGACACCATTTTTAATCTGATTTAAATGAAATTTGGTTTGATCATTTATATTAATGAGATTTTGGACACTTTTGAATTTGAGGATCTTTCGATGAACTGTTTCAAGTTATTGCCCTTGACTTATGAAAAACGCGTCAAAATTTGTTTGTGAACACAATAGAGAGTACAGTTTTTTTCGATTTAAATGAAATTTATGATCATTTATAATGATGAGATCTTAGTCAAGATTGAATTTGATAATTTTTCGATCAACGGAGTTATTGCCCTTGACAAAAAAATAGCTAAAGGTGACAGTTTATGTCAGAATTTTATTAAATAATGTGTGTTTGTTTAAATCAACAATATCTTGCAATATCAATTAGCTTATTGATTTGTTCTATCTGGACCATAGAGTTATACTAAGACTTAAGGATCTGAGCGCACTGACGGTGGAAAGATCGCAAGTGCCAGCAGTAAGTTCTAGAGACCTATTCTTCCCTCAGAGAAAATCTGGACGGGATTGGCTCACTCCATCTAAAAGAAAGATTTCCTATTTAGCCCTTTTTATAAGCTCACATTATAATGTGGTCGTAAATTGTTGTCGCCCTTGTCCGTCGGTCCGTCCACAATTGGCTTGTGAACGTAATAGAGACACCATTTTTAATCTGATTTAAATGAAATTTGGTTTGATCATTTATATTAATGAGATTTTGGACACTTTTGAATTTGAGGATCTTTCGATGAACTGTTTCAAGTTATTGCCCTTGACTTATGAAAAACGCGTCAAAATTTGTTTGTGAACACAATAGAGAGTACAGTTTTTTTCGATTTAAATGAAATTTATGATCATTTATAATGATGAGATCTTAGTCAAGATTGAATTTGATAATTTTTCGATCAACGGAGTTATTGCCCTTGACAAAAAAATAGATAGAGGTGACAGTTTATGTCAGAATTTTATTAAATAATGTGTGTTTGTTTAAATCAACAATATCTTGCACAAATTAGATTTTTGGTATGATTTGACACAGAAAGGTGACTGCCCTTGATATACTGAAAATGTATCAGGAAAGTAGGCGTATCTTGCTAGGCAACCACTTGTTTTATTTTATTCTTACCATAATTGTAGCTTGTACGGTAAGATTATTAATACAAATAATCAGTAAGTTTGAGCTTACTTAACCAGTGATAGCAGTGGGTCAACATAGAATTAGTTTAATTTAGTTTTAATAATTTAAATGTATGGTCAACTGGAGCAATGAGAAAATGAATCTAACCTTTAATTCGTTTTAAAATATCAGAAAGTTGTACAGATTGTCAGAAGTAATTTTAATTTGGTTAATAATAGGAAATACTACATTGCTAAAGAGGTTATTTAACTAGCAATTGCAATGTCATTCTACTTAGATTGAACCCTGTAGCCATCAAGTTTCTTTTTATTTATTTCAGCCAAATGAAAAAAATCATGAAATTTCAGATAGTATAATTGTTTAAAAAACACTCTATAAAGTATAGTGCTGTGTATCATCAATCATGTCACAATACGATACGTATTAACATTTTATCTTTAATAAAGTTTCAATATATTCATTTATATCTTATAATGGTGATATTTGGTAATATAGTGATAGAATTGGTAAGCGTCTACTGTCTTATAAAATCTTTCTAACAATTTCATTAAAAAAAACAAAATGAATGAAAGGTATCGTCAAGTATCGATACAAGACGTTGCGATATGATACGTGTATTGTAGCATGATGCATTGCGAAACATCGGTTCTCCGATATATCGCGCCATCACTAGTAAAGTAAGCTGCAATCCATTTAAATTTATGTAATTGTATACTAATTCAGATCGTGGAAAGTTATATAGGTAGCTAAAACCACCCATAACAACTTAGAGAATATAAATTTTTTATTCTGACCTAATGATTGAAATAATTGATTTTTGATTTAAATTATAAAACTTGAGATTCATTTGTGTGATTTATTGATACTGAATAAAGTTATATAACAGGAAAATTGATTAAAATTATTTTTTAGAATACTTGTTTACAAATTTTGTCATGGCAACTCACTGTTCTGTGAATTAACATGGGAATATATATTTATTGAGTATTGGACATAATTAATCATAGTGAGTATGTGCATGGCAATTAGATATTTAGGTTTATGAGGCAATTTCCACAATTGATTTATGAACCTGGAATCGATTTTGTCAAGCTGGCTTTGTGTTCTTGAAAGGTCAAATATTGATAAGCGAACTGAGCATTGTATTTAACAAGACTTGAATTTATTTAAAATCATTATTATTTTTGGGGAGGTGACCAGTCAATCCTTTAATAATGTCATCTCTCAAAATATAAATCCTTGATTCATGTAGTAACTAAGCTGATTTGCCTACTGCTATTGTTGTGGATAATTCAATTGATTAACAAAGCCATTTGCTTTTAGGTTTTAAAAACAATTAGATTGATTGTGGCAATTACTTTTCAAAAATAAAGCTTATTTGTGTTGATCAATTTGAAGACTATTCAAAAAAAAGATAGGAATCAATGCATATTTAGAAAAAATGAATTTCATAATGCCAATAAAAGTAATAATTACAGGTGATTTAAACTTGAAAGATATTTTTCTTCTTTAAAGCAAGTTCTTTAAAATATAAAATCATTTAAGTCTTATGCTTGATATAGGATTATATACTAGAACTCTTACCATTCTTTCTTTTTACTTTCTTAAGATGTAATTCAGACTAATGTATTATATGCTGTAATCTTACAGAACACACTTGTAAAGATCAATCTTAATTTGTGCACCCTTGTGACCTGTTTAAAGTCAATATAGTATCCTATTGCTCCTTAGTTTATTCTATAATAATGGTACCCAAAAGTAAACCATTGCATCTTTACTAGTAGGAAAATATATATCATGTGGTCCCAAAAAAAACGCTTACATTTCAGAATTTATTCTATAAAGTATCTAAAGAAAAGACTAATATTTTTACCATATCATTATATTTTTTAAGATTGTATTAGCTTGACATTATAAAGATGCCTGTGAATTTGAAGTTGTTTGTGAGCCAGTCACAGAGTACAAAAGTGACACTCTTCAAGGACAAAATTAAATCAAGTCCCAAAGTGCAAAAATGCAACTCTTCAAAGAGAGAGCTCTGGCAATTGGAATATTGATTGGCAAGGAATCACAAGTGCCATATTTATCTTTATTGTAAAAGAGTAAAATTATGAAATATGAATTTGCACCAGACTTATTTAAGTTTGTGGTAGTTTTTGTTAATTACATTGGATAAATATTATGATAGATGATGTATCTAGAATTAGTTGACAGCTCTCCTGTGGAATATAACAAATCAGATACACAATAATTTTGTAACCGTTTAATATTTGCCAAACGCTTTCATTTTCTTTAGGAACTTAATAACCTCAAGAGGGGCATATTTAAATATGAATTCTCAAAACACTTCAAAAAAGAAATGTCACAGGTTGGTGTTTAAATCTTATTTATGGATAGAAGGCTGAGGAGGTTGATAAGACATCTATTTTCATTGAGCTCGAAAAATGTTAATGTATCTATGATTTAAAAGAGACTCTTTAACAAAGGTTTTAGTGGACAATGTATCTGATTTTTATACACTCACATCTCTCTATGTGGACGTATATTGTCGGCACCCCTGTCCGTCCGTCAACAAACGCTCTAAAAACTAGATTTTTTGATGGAATCAAATGAAATTCGGTTTGCGTATACATGTTCAGAAAACAAAGATCAAGTTCGAATTTGAGCTATTTTCGATCGTTAGAAGCAGAGTTATTGCCCTTGCCCCAAAATCTTGAATATGCTATTACTCTCTTAGTTTTCAACCGATTTTGATGAAACTTAAAATGGATGTTATTGGACCTAAATCGAAAGGTTTGAGAAAGTTTAGTTTACTTCTGATTAAATTTAAGGCTTTTTCAAGATTTAGGCCTCTTATGTCAGTTTTGAGGAATTATCGCCCTTTAACCTCTATACAGTAAGTGCTTCTATCAACATCAATTGCTCGTAAACACTCTAAAAACTAGAGTCCGTCAGCATTTG